CAGTCACCATCCAATCAGCTTTGGGAAGGAAGAAAGCGCATCTCGGTTTAAAAATACTTCAAAATACATTTTCATTTTCTTTAATAAAATACTTTTACAATCATAATCTTGGTTACTTCCATGCTTATCAGATGGCATATTCACGGGGTGCGAACGATGTGAATATTCTAGGAGCTATAAAAAGAAACAAGCCTGAAACTGATTAAATTTATCATAAAGATAAAAGGCAACTGTTCTTAGCTTGCATGCCCAAGGAAAGCCTCTGTAATAGTTAAATTCAATGATGCCTCTGGTATAAAATCATCTTCCAACATTATATAAGGACAGAAAACTTCGCTGAGTGTAGCATCAGCTTCATCAAGATGCAAGGTAGATGACGTCAAAAAAACATTAATTCGTTAGAAGCTTAGTAAACTGGATCGTCTTATTCAGGTAGGTTAACATTAGAGGATTAGTCGTTTGCAAACCAAAGGTATACATAGAAAGCTTATATGACAAAGGATATCGTCAATAATGAAAGAAAATAAAGAAAAAGTTAAGATGCGGAAAGAAGCCTAAATACCGCAAGATTAGCCGAAACAATAGCCAGGCAAAAATGTTACTTCCTACCCATGTTTCAGTGTTTGGATTCATTTATTCTGTGTTTATGTTGACATGAACTCAATTAAATGATAATTTTCTATTTGAGCTCTTTATTTTTTACCTATTACTTAAACCTACCCTGTTAACTTTGGATGCAAGTTGCTTACTTCAACCTTAGAAGACTGACTGACGAAAGAAACGTTGTTGTTCTTTTTAATTTCGAATATTTTGTTAATATACCTTTTTCTCTTATTCTCAAGAGGAATATCACTGTCCCGTGTTTTATCTCAAACTCTATTTAAAATGTGATTCTTTGCTTATCCTTAAAAAGTCAAAAATAAATAAAATTTATTTTTTTCCGAAATATTAAAATTATTATCCATCACTCGTAGATACTCCAACCTTGTGGAACAGATTACGTTGGAATTATGACAAAAATGACTGACTGAAGTTATAAGAACTAGAGGATATATTTTTCCAAGAAATCGGTAATTCGTGATAGGTCTTCAGCCTCATGGGCCTTTTTAGCAATTCACATCTGATGGATCTTATTCCGCCTAATTTCACTGCCAAATTGAGTCGTGAAAGAAAATTCGAGTCGACATTGTAATAAGTAAAGTATTTATAAAAAATATAATTCAAACACATTTTATAATATTAGTTGTGGTATTGC